TTGGGTTTAAACTTACAATCTTAATGCTTATTTGTCCTACTAGTTGATGTTCTTTTTTCTTCCTTTCTTGAATTCTTTTTTTTTTGTATTTAATTATATAAACTGTGTTATTTAGTATACATCATTTCTCACATGCTTCTTTTATTAAAAAATAGATTTATATGTTTCAACCTTATAAAATACTACATAATATTCCAAAGTACACATGTGTCAGTTTAGCAATTCCCTTCTTAATATTTTTTGTTTTTGTGTTATTTTAGGTTCCATGTGACATTAATTATTTTGTAGTTGATTTTACTTAGAATAACTGACATATTTACCCTTCTCGTTGTTCTACATTCTATTCTATAACTTGGTGTTTCTTTCTGGGATTTTTTTTTTTTTCCTTTTGCTTGAATTGTCTTTCCGTGAGGGTATTTGTGCTGATCAAGATCTCAGTTTTTGTGTTAAGTGTATTTTTCCTTAAACTTTGAAGGATATTTTTGATGGACATAGAATTGTGTGTGGGAGGTATTTTCTTTTAGTATTTTAAGGTATCATTCCATTCTCTCCTTGCTTTTTTTTTTCCTGTTGAAGCCAATGGTTTGTGTTACCCTTTCAAAGGTAATATATCTCTTGAAAGGTCTTCTTTTTGTCTTTGTTTTTCAGCAGTTTGGTCTTTGTTTTTTAGCAGTTTGATCATAATGCGTTTAGGGGTGGTTTTATTTATAATTATTATTCTTGGAGTTTGTAGTATTTCTTGGTGGTTTGGCCATTTGGGGGAAAATTTTTGGCAGTACTATTTTGTCAAATATTGTTTTTGCCTTATTCTTCTCTCTTATTGTTGGAACTTTCACCATATCCCTTGTGTCTTTTATGTTCATTTCTGTATTTTTTCCTTTTGATTCTCCATGCTCCAGCTATGTTTTCTTCTGATGTTTTACCCTGCTAATTGTCTCTTGTTTTCTGTTTTATGTAATCTCCTGTTAAGTTCATCTCTTGTCAATTTACATTGTTTTGTTTTTCAGTCCTAGACTTTCATTTTATTTTCTGATTTTCACTTCTTTGCTGAAATTCTCCATGGGACATTAAAATTAGTATATATAATAAATACTAGTAGCAGCATTTATTTGTAATTGTTTAAAAATATTTTAGCAATAATAAAATATATATAAACCAAAATATCACATATAATTCCCTCATTCAACTTACCTTTTTTATTTTTCAGTGTCTTTATTTTATATGCAGATAAAGTGTGCATGTTAAGAAATTGTCCATAGCATTGAATTTTATTTATTTATTTATTTGTTTGTGTATTCAATTTTATTTTATTTGTATTTTATTTTTTTGAGTTTTTTAAAATTTCATTTTTTTTCATTTATTTTTATTAGTTGGAGGCTAATTACTTTACAATATTGTGGTGGTTTTTGCCATACATTGACATGAATCAGCCATGGATTTACATGTGCTCCCCATCCCGATCCCCCCTCCCGCCTCCCTCTCTGTCCCATCCCTCTGGGTCTTCCCAGTGTACCAGCCCTGAGCACTTGTCTCATGCATCCAACCTGGGCTGGTGATCTGTTTCACACTTGATAGTATACTTGTTTCAATGCAATTCTCTCAGAACATCCCACCCTCGCCTTCTCCCACAGAGTCCAAAAGTCTGTTCTGTACATCTGTGTCTCTTTTTCTGTTTTGCATATGGGGTTATCGCTAACATCTTTTTAAATTCCATATATATGCGTTAGTATACTGTATTGGTCTTTATCTTTCTGGCTTACTTCACTCTGTATAATGGGCTCCAGTTTCATCCATCTCATTAGAACTGCATAGCATTGAATTTTAATGAAATACTTTATTAAAAATAACCTCTGTATAATTTTTCTAATACCACATTTCTAATTCTGCTCTAACATGTTATCATTCTTTGCCTGGAATTATAAAGATTTGCAATTTATAGAGTTATTGTTCTGTCCATTAGGTATATAGTTAAGATGTCAAATAAAATGGTAAAGATTAACATCACCAAAAGATATATAATGTTATCTTTCTACAGGTATTTTTCTTTTCAAATCAGAGGACGCACAGGAGAATTTTGCTTTAGAATATTAATTTGACTTTGCCTGCCTTTAAAATCTTTCTTTCAACCTGGATAGATTAGTTTCCACTCTTCTTTATTTAAAATCCATTTATCAGACTCCAGATGTATTTCCCTTCCCAGAACAATACCTATCTGTCATTAATGGTGATGGCATTGATCTTTAATAGACTGTGATGATTTGAAATCTTTTGATGATATCTCTATTATCACATATAACTTTTTAAAAAGCCAAATTATTAGTTGACTCACATTAATATTGGTACACTTATAGGTATCTTAAATGAAATTCATGACAATGTAAGAGGAAGCTAAATTTTAAATTAAAGATTTCTCTTAAAAATGGAAGAATTCCAAGATTTTTGGTAGTTAAGTAGGTAAAAATAGGATATGAAAGTAGGCTTCTTCTCTGAAATAAAATGTTTTAAATATTAGCAACCTGAAAGGCAGTCTTCTCCGGAAATAATTCTTGGTTCATTTAAAGCACCAGACATATTGTAAAAAAACATGGCATTATCTAGGCCAGATATCCATTTTCTTGAAAACATGGTGACTGTAAGTTATGTAGTGAATCTTATTTTTGGAGAAGCCTCCAGTGAAGAACTCATATAGAATGCCAGGTTTGGAAACTGACTTAGAGGTCATAGGACCTTAGTCTCTCATTTTGTAGATGAGACTCAAGTGGTTGTTTCAGACATCAAGTTGGTATATAGTATCATGAAAACTCCTAGAACAAGTAGTTGGTCTGGAGCATATATTCTAAAGATGTTAGTTCTTTTCCTTTTTTCCTAAAACACAGAAATCTAGTTCCCATTCTTGGGATCATTATGATTTGTTTGTTGCATTGATTCATCTAACCTGTGGTAAGAAACAACCCCTAAGTCTCAGTGTAAATAAAACAAAGGTTTTTTTGCTTTGTCTCATTGCATGTCCTCTGTGGATGGGCTGTGGGTTTCCCCTCTTGCTGTAGGGTGCTGCAGCTGTGGCAGAGATGTGCCAGATGGCTCTTTACCATGAGTCTTTATTTTGGAATCCAGGCTAGTGGGGCATCCCATCTATGATAGGGTGTTCTTCAGTTAGAGATGGAAAAGAAAGAACAGCCTTCTTCAAGAAGCTCTTGCTTGGAGCGAGCACAATGCATTTCTGCTGATATTCATTGGCCGGTCAAGTCCATGGCCAAGGACTTGCTACCTATCTGATGATAGGTAGCAAGGTATGCTTCTCTTGAAGGTTTCGTGGCAAACAACAAAGATGTGTAATTGCCTTGCAGGGTTGGGAGCAAATAGTTGTAAACTAGTGTGAGCCACCGTACAAATGACTGAAATTTAATGTGGTACCTTTATTGGGTCTATTATTCTTTCTCAGTTCCACCTTGGCAGAAATATAAGATATTATAGGCTCTTGCTACCTTTTTTATGGCTGAACTGTGTTCTAATTTTTTTCACATTAGGACTCATGATGCAGATTGCTGTTTGGTTACTCAGGAAGAATGTTTTCAAAGCTGCAACAGAATTTGAGGATCAGTTGATTTTCCTTTGAATCAAATTATTTTTGATAGAGGATGCTTATTTTATTAAAAAAATATTGGATGGAAAGGGGACATTGTGTGCAGAGATTGTTGTCTTTTATGTTTTAATAGAAGACTTGCAAGGTGAAGTCTTTTACAACTGTTTTAAAGCTCAATTTAACAATCAGTAGGTCTGTGTCTCTATTTCTTCTTTGCAAATAAGTTCATCTGTATCATTTTTCTAGATTCCACATTTAAGTGATATATATTTGTTTTTCTCTTTTTGACTTACTTCACTCTGTATGATAGTCTCTAGGTCCAACCATGTTTCTGCAAATAGCATAATTTTGTTCCTGTTTATGGCTGAATAATAGTCCATCATATATATATGTACCACATCTTTATACAGAGACACAGAGAACAAATGTGTGGATATATTTGTTTCACATTTGTCCATACAAATGTGTGGTGGGAAGGGGGGAATGAGATGAATTGGAAGATTGTGATTGACATATATACAATACTATGTATAAAATAGGTATCTTGTGAGAACCTATGGTATAGCACAGGAAACTCAATGCTCTGTGAGACCTAAATGGGGAGGAAATCCAAAAAAGAAGGGCTATAGGTATACATATAGCTAATTCACTTAACTGTACAGTGAAACTAATGCAACACTGAAAAGGAACTATAATAAAAATCAATTTTAAAAATCACTGGAGTCTTAACCATCTCTTAAGAACCTTCTTCAATAAGATGAAGGCTCTGTGTAAAGGAGTGGGTAACAGAAGGGAATGAGCTATTCAGAGTTTATTGTATTTCTGTCACAGTTCAATAATGCACTTGAACTTCACAGTAATTCTTTAATGGATGGATAGGTGAAGACAGGATGACAGTGAGAGATGGGAGAAGGGTCACCTTCCTCCTGCCTGAGAATTGGATGATTTCTTCAGATTCTCACCATCACAATCTGTCCATCTGTCAGGTGTCTGTCTATTGAGTGGTGAGAACATATCTTGTAAGTTCTTTCCCCAGAGATGAAAGAATAGAACTTCAAAAGACATAAAAGGGACTAAAAAGAGAAGTCTTGCCAACGGTACCCTAGCCCCCTAGTTCCCTTCCAGAAAGACAATCTGTGTTGTCTGGTCTACACTATTTTAGACATTAACAAGTAAATACATTTAACTAGACATTTCTCCCTTTTGTGTATCAGACATGCCTGTTCTGCTTCTAGCTTTCACTTAATATATTTTGAGGGTCACTTCATATAAATATATAATGAGTTTCCTCCCCATAACTTCACGTCCTCTTTTTTTTAAAGACAGCTAGGGTCTTACCTTTGTAAAGATATACCATAAGCTACTAAATGGTAGTGTGTTTCTTCTTTCTGGAAATAACTCCTGCTTGCTTCCCCAGAGTGATGAAGAGAAGGGCCTCAAAAACATGTCTGGGGCTTCAGATCACACCCGAAGGAAGGGGAAGGACCTAGGAAAAAGCATCCTGTGTGGCAAGAACCGGGAGAGTTTCCCTGAGGAACCTCCGGTGATAGCAGCTCTAGAATGGGAAGGAGAGCAGGCGGAGCCCTGACGTGGAGGTGAAATGGGCTCGTGGAGGTAGAGAGGGCAGAGGTGCTTGTGGTTCCCTGGTACGCTCCCCTTGACTGCATGCCTTATTGTTATGACTTGTCCTTCGGAAGAGTCATGCTGGTGGAAAGAGAATGTACTGTGATTGTGAATGTAAATGGGGAATGTGCATCTGTTCAGAGTGCTATTAAGAGGAGAATCACATCAAATTACAGGGTATGAAATGGTAAGTCATTTCAGGGAATTACCTGTTAAATGTCAGCCATGACCTAATAATAGGTTTTTCTTCATGTGTAAAGGCATTATTTCTGCTATCAGTAGGACTATTTTCTCTATCTTGCTTTGTCTCCCTTGCCACCAGCTGGGGTGAGGGGCGAGGTCAAAGTCATGAAACCCAGCATCCCTAAACAGCCTTCCTGAAGACTGACCGCTGGCCGTGGCTTCATTTGTGCCTTGTCTGCTGTTCTCCTGAAATTAATCAGCCTCAGGCAATAATCTGATAGTTTAATAATTATATAATGCCTATTTCAATAATACTCAAGAGCACAGGTTATTATGAAAGGATGTATACAAGTTTTTTCCTCTTGTTCTAGGTAGTATTTTTATAGGTGGTAAACAGTAATGTTCAATTGCTGAGTCGTGTCCGACTCTGTGACCTCATGGACTGCAGCAGGCTTCCCTGTCCTTCACCATCTCCCAGAGCTTGCTCAAACTCATGTGCATTGAATCAGTGATGCCATCCAACCATCTCATCCTCTGCTGTTTCCTTCTTCTGCCTTCAATCTTTCCCAGCATCAGGGTCTTTTCTAATGAGTCGGCTCTTGGGATCAAGTGACCAAAGTATTGGAACTTCAGCTTTAGCATCAGTCCTTCCAATGAATATTCAGGGTTGGTTTCCTTTAGGATTGACTGGTTTGATCTCCTTGAAGTCCAGCTGGGGACTCTTAAGAGTCTTCTCCAACACCACAGTTCAAAGTTTGAAGGCAAACAGTAATATAAGCAGTTAAAATGATATTTTCAAAGCCAAGTAACATATTTAGTTCAGATAAAAGGACTTTATCCCATTTAGTCTGAGTTTTTGAAAATATCTTTTCTTTCGAGGAGGTTTCATCTGCTAGTAAGTGGGCACAAGCATCCTTGATTGTTGGCACTGATCATCTATCTACTTAACGACTTAAAAGTACCATTCATTCCCCAAACTACTCTTAAGCTTCTCATTTTTTCAGCTTGACAGATCTTCTTTTGAACTCATCTTATGTATAAAATCCAGAAGAATACAAATTTTACAGAGCTGTGTCCTCTAGATTGATGCAGTGGTGTTTTCAAATACCATACTGTTCAAGCCCTGATTTCAACATTCTCATGAAGATTGTGTACTAGATGGTGGTGGTGTTTTAGTTGCTGAGTTGTGTCTGATTCTTGCAAACCCATAGACTGTACCCTGCCAGGGTCCTCTGTCCATGGGATTTCCCAGGCAAGAATACTGGAGTGGGTTGCCATTTCCTTCTCCAGGGGATCTTCCAGACCTCTGGAAGGCATCAAACCTGGGTCTCCTGCATTGCAGGAAGATTTTTTTACTGTCTGAGCCACCAGACAAGCTCCTATCTAACTCTCAGCCTGTATTTTATGTCCAAGTAAATGAGGAAATTCAGAATCTCAATCAAGTCTCTCTCATTATTGGCTTTGTGTTGTGATTTTCCTTCACGTCTGAGCCAGAGTGCATTGAAGTTTATTTATACTGCTGGATAAAAGTTTGGGTGCTGGAGTCAGGATGACATGATTGTAAATTCTGGTTCTACAGTTTAGTAGCAGAGTGACCATGAGAAAATTACCATTCTCTGTACAAGCACCAACATTTCTCATCTATAAGATGGGGATAATAATAATCCTTCCCTTTGGGGGATGTTGAAGATTAAGTGAAGTAATGTGTGTCAAACGTTTGGTACCTAGTGATTGTTCAGTGTTATTATCCTTCTGACTAGGATGTTGGCTGTTGTCTAACGAGCCCTGGGGAATGTGACTCTAAAGTTCCTTCTGGGTAGAGACTCAGAGGACCACCTAGCGTATTGGTGTTTGTTAAATGAGTAAATCATGGGAATGCTCTTGTTATTTAGTTAGCTTGGAAATTAGAGACTCCACTAAATGTGAGCTTGTAATCTAAAAGTACGAAACACACATGGAAACAATTCACCTGGAATAAGAGTCACCAGAAAGAATAATTAGCAGAATTAGAACCTCAAGAATTTGAATAATATAGTTATTGGGTACAAAATAAAAAACAATAAGATGCTTGGGGAAAAAAGGGTGGAATAGAGAATATGAGAAACAAGATGTGATTTTCTACAACCTCTGTCTGCCCCTTGCCCACTGCCCCCAGCTCCACTCATGATTTCCTGAGAATCATTTTTCTTCCTAAGAGAGTGCATGGCCACGGCATGGTCAGCGCATCACCGCAGCAACAAACAAACGAGAAAGGGGAGGCACAGTGCATTCATGCCGGCCCTTTTATTCATGGTGGCTCCGCCCTCTGGCAGACGTGACCTGATCTGTGTCCAGGAATGTGACTTAAAAGCTCCCCTCTTTGGAGAGAATGGGTTGGGGGTGGGTTTCAGAGCAGGGGGGGGTTTGGAGAAGGGTATTGTAGGTTAGAGAGAAGCCTAAAAGAAGTAGTATGTCTTCTCATAGAAGACCACAACATCAGAGAATATGGTGAGAGGAAAAATGATTTCATTGAATTAATTTGAATGAATTTGCTCTTTTGCTGTCTGTATTGTAATTATGTTAATTAAAAAACAATTTCAAAGGGAGAACAAGATGGCAAAGGAGTAGGTGGACGTGGAGTACATCTCTCTCTGCATACATCAGGAATACACCTTCAGACACAGAAGTGCAGGCAGAACCCCAGCTGAGAGTGTAGGGGTACCTGACCAGAGGAAAAGAATATATAGAGCCACACAAAACTCGACAGGAGGAAGGAACTAGGGTGAAAAACAGGAGTGTTAGTAGGACTGGACCAGCCCTTGGTGGGTGTGGGAACTGAAGCAGGGGTCTGATCCCCACATCCAGGCAACTGTCTGAGTCAGAGGAGAAACATTTTAAGGCTGAGAGTGAAATAGCTGATCTTTGGCAGCCTAGATGGAATAAGAATCAGACAACCCTTGCCATAGCCATACATACCCCAGACAGGGATGAGGGTCCCCTGGAAGGAGCAGCAGCTAGGAGCTGGGGTTTGGGGCGTGTAGAGCAATCACAGGGCGAGGGCTGCTGTTGACTGTGGAGAGAGGGATCTAGGGAGGGTGAGGGAAGAGATTGTGGTGGGAAATGCCTGTGGAGGAAAGCTGGGCAGCATGGAAGCAAGGCGATGCTGCTGAGTCACGTGTAGGGGGTGGAGCCATCACCAAAGCCTGCCTCTCCCCACCTGCCAGCATGGCAGCTGAACAAGGTACTGAAAAGTGCCTGATGAGCGGATCTACAGGGTAGGACCCCAGCCAAGGGGGCCCCTCTGCGTGCCTGCCACGCCAAACAAAGAGAAGGACTCCAGGCAAGGGAGTCCTCTGAGTGACTGAATGGGCGGAGCGATGGAGAAAGATTGGCCAAGAGGTCTTCTGGTCGCCGGCTGCAAGAGGCTGGAACAGAGGCTCTGATGGGGCCACAACGCCTGCCATGGAGGGAGTCCCTGTCCCCGCACGCTTGGTGCCACCAGGGTCCCCGCAAGCCAAGCAGCTGCGCCACCTTCATGCTCAAATCTCTCTGGCGCAGAGCCGCCACAGGCAAAAAAAGTCTTGCGTCTATGCACGCAGGGTCACTTCGGCCGTGTCCCACTCTCTGCAGCCCTGTAGACCGTGGCCTGCCAGGCTTCTCTGTCACGGAGGGGGGGTTCTCCAGGCAAGAATACTGGAGCTTATTGGCCAACACTGGGTGCCATATCCTTCTAGGGCACCATTTTTCCTGCTGCCCCAGCCGCAAACTCCGCTGAGTACCTGGTGCTGCCAGAACCCCTGCGACCCAAGCAGCTGCACCACCTCCAGACCTGGCCCTCACAGGGGCAAACCCAGGTCCTCCAGGGCAGCCTCAGGAGCAAACCCCAGAGGTGGAAATAAAACCACAATTGAAACTCAGGGGCAGTGTGGCTAAGGAAGAAGACCCAGAACCTTCCCACCGGCTGTACAAGTTGCTGATTAAACCCACACAATCAACTGGGCAGCCTCTGTGTCTGTGGAAAAGGTCATTCAGAGCTCCCACAAAAGAAAATGCACTAGTTCTACTGTGGATATTGGAGGCAAGAACACACAGAAGTAGGACCAGGTTAGAATCTGAGCTGCCCCCACAGCAGGTCCAGAGATCAGCACAGTGCTGGAGGGCATCCTAGGGAGGCGAGGTGGACTGTGACTCCAGCGAGGGAAAGGACTCTGACAGCAGTGGCTCAAGAAAATAATTTATTATTCTTATGCTTTGACTTGCTCTGTAGCTTCTTTTCCATTTAAAAAAAATTTTTTTCTTTTTCCCTTTCTCCCTGCTTCTGTTGTAGTTGTCAATTTTATTGGCACTGTGAAATCTAATTAAGCTTTTGAGCTTTTTTGTTTTAGTCACATTTTTATTGCTGATATAAACCTCTGTCTCTACATTGGACTTTTGCAGTTCTGTGGAGTTTGCCTTTTTTTTTAAAATCCTTTTTAAATTTTAATTTTTTAAACCTATTTTTTTCTACATTTATTCCTTTGCTTTTCCTACTGTTCTTTTCCCCTTCCAGTTAATCTTTAATGTATATAAATCTTCTTTATCTACCTCTATTTACCTTTGAGTATCTATTCTCTCCTTCTTTTCTTTCTTTCCTTTCCTCTCAACATATTTGCTAGTTCTATTTTCATTGCTTTGTTCCCCAATTGGTACCTTGCTCTAGTTTTGAATTTTCCAGTTTGTGCTTTAGTTAGTTTTTTTCTTAACTGGTGGATGTAATTTTTGATTTCCTTTATTTGCTGGGTCAATTGATTGTACTTTATTTTG